GCTACTGAGCAATATGTGCTTATCAGACCACTTCACATTTGGCTACTCACCCAAATCACGGGATGGAGGGATGTAATTTCATTGCAATTCTAAGCCAGTAATCAAATCTAAATGATCATGGCAATACGTTTCGATGCCTATCTCACCTGGTGGAACGTACTCCGCTCTTAATCAGAGGTGGCACCTGTGAGCAGGTTCGGAGTCCATATTAGATTACAATCTTCAACAGCTGGCAACTTGAGCTGTATTTTGCATTGTTAGTGCAATAAACTATTGAAATACATGCAGTGGTAATTTTTGTGTGTAAAAGGGCTCAGAAACCAGGTAGTAGTTTCATGTACTTCACTATTCGTCAATTTTAAATGAACACTCATATCAGTGGACGTCCACCCGGCTGGCGCGTAGATTAAACTTCAGTTTTACCAACCACACATGCCGCCTGATAATCGGAAAGTAAACAAGAACCAATGGAATATTTATGAGAGACCGAGAGACATTTTTTGAAAACAAAACCCAAAATCCTTTTTTCATTGGGAAGCCATTTTTAGGTGGATTAATTAGATTACAGTGCATTAGATAGTAGTATAAGGAATCACCGGGAATTCTTCATTACATTTGTCTGGCGAACTAACTGGTATTATCAAGAATGATAGAGCTTCGGTTATGGGATTTGAAGGCCTGATTCTGACCAATATATTCTGCAAAATGCTAACATAGTCGTTTTGTATAAATAAAAGCAATTTGAAGCAAACAAATGTCCGAAATTTTCCTTGATTTACTTGCCACAAATAATGTATGGCCAATTTGTACAGAAACGTAACTAAAATTACAGTTGTTCGTAAAAGGGGGATAGGAGGATCTCAGGAACGTGTGCATGTGAAGAAAGATGGTTTATGTTGAGGGCTTAATCTGGTTTTCTCAGAATCTATTTTACATTTTGTTCTATTCTTACTATTGATCGGGGGTATCCGTAGGCTTGGATAGAAATGAATGTGGTACTAGCGTCATTCATTAGCGAACTGTACATGGTGATTTTCTTTGTCTAGGAACACCCAGTCCATTGATGAAAACAATCTCGTTGAAAAATTACGTGTTGTTGTGCTCAATCCTAACACTTACTGACAGTCTATTTTTACGGAGCCACGATTGTAGAAATTGAAAGAAAGGATTCCACGAGGAGGTTTCGAAATTATCAAAAAAGTTTCATGGAATTATTGTTCTTCAAAGCCATCAGACCACCACCTAACCAAGAAGAATAAATTCAAGTAGACTGACAGGTTATTCTTCACATGCAAAAAGAAAGATCAATGCGACAGAGTTTGGAAAACTGCATTACCGCGTTTTCATTCACCCCAGAGAATGAATTAGTCTTTGAGAAATAACTCTATGNACTCTATGTTCGAGACCCATGCGAAAGAACCCAACCGGTGTTGGGATTATATTTTTGACAACACATTTCTCATTCTAACAATTTTCGCAAGGAATCTAGTAGATGAATTTGGGTAAAGTGCTTGATGCATGTGCTCTGCACAGTCCACGGGCCATGAAGCTAATGCAATGAACCCAGGTTTGCCTTTGTCATTTATCCCTGGTTACAAAGGGAAGGGCCATGAATGTACATTTTCGTCTCAAGACCATAATCACGTTTATCCTATCTGGCTTTCCACTGCATCAGTTGATCGCCCTACTTAATCCATATGTTTATAGCATTCAAAGCCAATTACATCTTTATACTATTCTAAATCACTGCTACAGCATTTTCTTAGTTTCCATTTGTCATGTAACCTGAATTCACATTGTTCGTACTGCAAAACGGAAGTTGAACATAACGTTATAGACTCACGTAGACAACCTCAAATCGTAAAATAATTTCTTTGTATAGCGCACAATTACTTACAGAACTAAGCAAATGCGTTCTAATACTTTTTCACCAATATTGTTTTCTGTTCCAACGGTCACCTTGGTTAAGACTGAAAAGTTGTACATCACAGTCCGATGCACAAGCTTCGGTTTCCCAAGCACCACTTGTTTGCATCGTCCTTCTTCGTAATTCAGTTTTATCTGTGGTATAAGACATCTCGTTGCATTATCCTAAAACTTTAAAAGTATCACTTGCAAATGTATTCAAAGCGCTAAGCTTCATAATCGTTAATAGTTCCTCATTCGCCTTCTGTGTGCGATATTCAGCTATCAATTCGATGTGTTCGATTATATAGTGAACTTCGTCATGTACAGGGCAAATTAGATGTGAACTGAAAAGCCAGCAAGCAGTGAAAACCTGATTGGCGGTGGTGGCCAGATGGTTAGGTCACCAACTAGTGACCTGGGTGTCCCACATTCACAGCTCCACCACCGCCCGTCTTCCCTATATCTGTATTTTCCCCCGGTAGCCATTTTTAGGGCTGCAGGCCTCAACCTGAAAATTGACTGTATATATGTATATTCAATAAATAAAGAGGGAGTAAAAAGACATTCTTTCATTCATTCATTAAAACTGATTGGGTCACATCAGCGTTGCGAGTCAGTCTACCCAACTTAGGATCAAACGTGAGACCTCACAAATAGAACTCATACAGTATACCCACTCGGCCACCGAGAATCTAATCGGACGGCTTGATAAACATCCTCCATTACTATCATGTATTATTCCAGGCTCGCACTGGCTGTGGTGTCCAGGTGGTAACGTCAACAAACCATCACCCCGGAGGATGTGTAACCGAATCCCACCGCCAATGTCTGACTTTTCTCATTATGTATTTATTGTTTGGCAGCCCCTGGATTGGCTGCTTGCTCCGTCGGGAAAAATGCATTTTTTGTATGATCCATCAAAAAGGAAGTAAAAATGCAAAAAGAAGGAAACACTGTTAATTCCTCAGAAGTACTTAAAATGTGAAGTCTTTTTGATAATGCTTGCTTGCACTGTTTCATACTGATCGATCACGTGTTTACTTTCAATCCACCGAAAACCAAACCAGTGCATGCATAGCGTTTATTTCAGCGTGCAGTACTTCTCTGTTCACCGTCCAGAACAACTACAAACAGGTACTTCAAACCTCATGCAAAGATTACTAACTGGTCTTTATCGGCTTTAAGTAGCAAGGTCCCATCCTAACTAAAACCGTGATACATAGATTTGTCGGGATGCTTCAATGCTCTACTGCCTACTTTGTTTGAACAACAGGACGATTTAAATCAGCTGGCTTGAATCAGCACTGCATAAGGGAACACCAAGGGTAAGTTAAGTTTTTGATAATGAGATCACAATTTGTGATCCGTCAACAATATATAGGGAGAAATAAATATAAGGTTTTTAATGCTGTTTTGTGTAATCACTCTGGTCATACGCACACACGCAGATATAAAGGACGAAACAATAACTATTTCTATGGCGTCAATTTTCCTACCATGGAATCCGGAATAAAACCGATGGTAGTGAATCATTTGTGTTCACCCTGCTATTTGGAATGAGAAAATCTTGTATGTCTCCACTTGCTTTTCGTGCACGATCTCTGAAGAATGCTTCTAAAGTTTGGGGTTGATAAATTCCTGTATATATGAATAGTGTCCTGTGGATGTTTAAAGCTGGCTTCTAAACAATAACTTCCAAAGAAGTGAAATGTATAGGAACTGACTGAGATTGGTCAACGTTTTCAACATAGTGCTTCAAAGGAATAGAGGTAATTGGATGTAAAACGGATTATAACTTTAGAAACTACGGATTTTGATGCTCCAAAACAGGAAGCAGATCTTATGACTTTACCTTCAGAGAATTGACCTAAATGTTTGTTTTCCAGATATGCTACTGTCTTTTCATGGAACTCCACAGTGGGGTCTATGTATCGACGTACGCTGCCCACACAGTGTAGACGGCCGTTTATTCCAAAGGATTGTGCAATCCATTGCGCTGTACACAATTTTCAATCCGACTGTTAGCCATCAAGAATTCAGCTCAGAGGTTTTTCACAGATCCCAATGGGTTTTATTTTCGAATCCTGGAAGGGACAGAAAAGCATGTAATTATAAGAAATTACTCGGCTGATGGTTTTAGTCGAACAATAAAACACTTAAATGACAGCATCTGAACACTTCTGTCTCGTTAACCACAATGAGCTTGAAACCTACAAAAGCTTCGCAGTAGATACTGTCGTAAACGTATAGCACAGGTTTCTATAATCTTTGAAAACATGCTATCATACCTATGAGGACTGATTGAGCGATTCCGGACTGTGAGAATCCATGTAACGAAGGACTCAGCAAACTAGCTTCGCACAAATCGTAACTCCCGTGTACGAATCGACCACCAATTCAAAGATACAGAGAAATTTTAGCTTCCGTGAGCTAACAGACAGCGCACTACTAACGTCCGATTGGTGATTCATATCAGATCAGTTGTTTCATTAGGATTAGCGAAATATCCGGTAAACATGGGTGCATTCAAACCCGCGCGTGCATGCTGTCTACACCGTCCACACGCCCGGTCAGTTGCATCCAGAAATCCCACCGACAGCTCTGATCTCCGTATTTCACCAACTATCCAAGCTTGGGCTCGAGTGCCATCTACCGATGCTCACAATCTTTTCGGAATCCAAACACATTTGTTTTCATGGTATACTATTTTACAGATTTGATGGTATTCAGCCTAAAATGAACCCAATGTTCAAGAATATGTTACTGATAAAAATAAAACAAGTAGTGTGGAAATTACCTTACTGCATTTCCTTTCTTCATAAAATTACATAAAATTAACAAAAACGCCACGTGAAAATATCAACATGGATTAATTGATGGCGCAAATTTGACTATTCATCATACAGCAGAAGGTGGCAAATCGCATTTATTAAAATTATTTGCGCTTCTGGTGCTTTATTATATTGAACTGAAGTTTATATGGAATTTTGTAATTATCTGTCGATTAACTACCTTCGCTCTTTTCGCTTTGCATTCAGTTGATAAGGTTTATCCATAATTCTTCGTTACATTTCACCGTTAAAACTACTCAGGAATCCGATATCGACTTATCTATCTCGGTGGAGACTGGACAGGTTTTCCATGGGAGGAACGTGCCTTACAGTTACACCAACAACCACAGCCACAACTTTCGAAACCAGCGCCCGATGTGATCTTCAACAAACCTGTGCCCAGCGCGGCCATATTGCTCATTCACCCACTGCGTTTGACAGACAGCGGAGAGTACCGCTGTCAGGCACGAATTGGTGGCAAAGAAGTATTCTCGGAACAGCGTACACTGTTGAACGTAACCAGTAAGTGCGTGTGTGTATGTATATACTTCTCTCTATGTGTTTCTACGTCCTTCTCCTCGTGTATCGACAAGGTTATGTCCTAAAACCTTTTTGAGTTTCACGTGCAGAAACGCGAATGAACGCATGCGTACACTCGCAACTCTACCAACTACACTTAGTTCTCTGAGGTCTTGTTTGAGTTACTGAATAATTCAGTCCAAAATATGGTCCCGAACAAAAATGAAAATCTCTCGTGGGACGATGTCAAGCTACGTAGCAACCAGAATCAAATTGCAACTCATATACCAGATTCATGAACTAACTTAACAGAGTTGGAAATCAGTATACGTCAAGAAATGCGAATTTCAACCATCAATCTGTCAGAAGTATACACCCATTCATCGATAAGATTTTCATGCCAGTCCCTGATTATCCCGTCCGCCTTCACCCACAAAAACTGCATTATTATTAACATGTATAATAGTAATAATAAGTAATCTCATTTGCGAACTCTTTGTGGCTTTAAGCTGAGTAGTTCCTCAGGATGAACATCATGAGAAACGAATTGATTGAATCTTTGTAAACGTAAATAAAAATGTCCTTTTACTTATTACTTATTATTACTTATTTATTGAGTATACATATGTACAGTCAACTTTCAGGAAGAAGACTGCGGCCACAGAAAGGCTGCCAGGGAATGTACAGAAATAGGGAAGACGGGCTGTGGTGGAATGGTTCGAACCCGGGACTTCTGGTGCACAATTTGGCGACCTAACCACTTGGCCACTACCGTCAGTTACATCATCATTGAACACGCCTTACTACACAATATGAACCAATGATCAATAATCAACGAGGAAATAGATAGCAGTGTATATGGAAACTTGCACTATACTAAGTTTGCTTAAGAACTGAAACTATATATTGCTGTTTGGCAGATGCTTTGAAAGATAAACCAATGGGACTTCGATTTTTCCGCCTTTTATCACTCACGACTCCAGCAACGAATTCAAGCAATTGCTCATTTATTAAACATGCTTGCAACCAGCGTAACCATCCTTCCTGTTTAGCTTTATCACGGATGATGCTTCGATCAACCGTAAATTTTATTCACATTTTGAATGAATCTGAAACAACAAAAGTAGAAATAAACGCGTAGCATGTTTCACCCATTCTGCAAAACTCAAATCTGTGTAGTTCATTTTTTGCAGATCTAGGGAAATCACTCACGGGCAAACATGTTAAGCTGCTTGCTAGGAAAGAGACCGAATCATAACAAACTTCATAAGCGGTGGCGGTGGCGGTGGAGATCAAATGGTACAAGCCATCAGCCAATTTTCAAATGGTCTGTGCGAATGTTAAAACTCGGTCTTCGTCGTCCCATTAGCCTTCATGAACGCGTATCTTTCTATAAGCAGCACCTCACTTCCGCATCTCTCCCAACTATTGACCAAACAATTACTGTTTAACAAATGAATGTAAGAAAGCACACTTGTTTTGAGTAAAGTATGAAGTGCATGTTTTTAGAAGTTCCTCTGAGCGTAAAATACCAATCTAACCATCCAATTGTAGTTAAGCTTGTAGTAAGGCTAAGCTACATACTTTAATTCTCTTACCGCGAGTGTAAATTAATAAAACTTTTTCCAGCCACCCGATCTCTCGCAGATCATCTCATGCACAACCGCGGTTACTCTCAGCCTCGTTGTGTTCAAGTATATGGTCACATAAGAAGAAATATGTGTGTATTATCCCATTGTGAATAAAACATGAGATTTCACCCCTCCGTTAGTTCTCTTCCGAGTCATCGATTGGCCATCCGTTGTAATCCAAACCGGTAGAGTTGCATTGTTGTGGAATCGGGATACAAAAGTGTTGCGTTAGAGATAATTTGCATAGGCAAACTGAATCCATGTTCGAACACTGAAAGCTCCGTCGCCACTGGAGCGTGAACGCAACGAGCCAAGTGTCACACACACACACACAGACAATCACAACCTTTCACAAGTTGATCTTCGCAATGGGTGTTCTCATACCGTAAAGAGGTTGTGTGTGTATGTGTGTGCACTGTGCGTATGCGCTCATATCCGATCCGTGAGATTCGGACGCTCACTCGATTACGGTTTTGGTTGGTCATGCATTGAAATGATGGTGAGTGAACAAGCGCACACAACTATCGTCAGGTCGCGATCACGAGTTCGCTTTCAAATGGCAACCCCAATGGACATTTTATTTTTCTTGTGCACACACACGCATACACACAATCACCTATACCGTGAGAGCGGTCCGGTTTCGTGTGACAGGCTACTGTGACAGTGAAATTCGACTTGACATTTGCCACCGGTCAATACACGTCACAGTAAAGGACGAACTAACCGAAAGGGTGAACAGTTAGGGAATGCTAAGGAAGAGCGAAACACAGATGAATGGAATGGACCAGTGATAAGGGATAGACTGTCGGCGGGAGAGAACAAGAATATTCACGTTGTCAACCGGAGCAAATTAACATGAATCAATCGAGGAAATTTGATGCTTATCGAATGAATGGAGATTGGCTTCCGTGGTTTCCGTTGACTTCAGAGCGATGTGGATAACGATCATAAGGCAATATACTAGTCGTTTTGTGCGCCTAACCTACAATTTACCGTGAAATCTGTGGTCTCTAATGAATTGAAATTCATATGCCCTTGCAAGTGATTATCCGCTGATCCGGTTTCACGTCGAACAAACAAACATGAATATCTTCTGAATGAAAATAACAGTACACATTATTTTTAATTGGCATAAAGAAAGGATAACGATTATAGGGCTTGTAAATAACCCCAATGGATGAGCTCAGAACACCAAATTTAACAGCTATTTTGCGAAATTCTTGGAAGTCCTTTGTCCAGTGATCAAGGAATCTTAAAATAAATGTAGCCAGTAGAATAACATAAATTGAGAAAAAAATATTAGTTGACCCGATTTTGCACTCATTATAGCTCATCGGTAGTGAATATCAAGCATCCCGTCTGAGATTTGAATTCCGGCCCCTTGTGTGGAAGGCACATGTGTTACTACTGTGTCAACCAACTGACACCAATACTGATCATAATAATCAATTCACGTTTGCTGAGATGGTATTTCTAGCGATGGTCAGTTAGTCCATCGGGGTCAACGGCAAGTAAAGGAGATACTGCTAAACTACACCACTTATTGACCCGCCCGACTGGCTGACTTAGCCAATGTGTGGGTAACTCTCCTCAGTTCGAGCAGATTGTTCACTATCGTTTTGTTCAACCTATATAAAATGCTTCACAACCGCATTCCAGAAGGGCGAAAATCCAGATATGAACTTGAACAACAGGGCGGTGGTGGCTCGGTGGTAACGTCACCA